TACCAGTTTAACGTTGAATATTATTTATGATTTTAACTTTATACACAAGTGCCAAAATACTATAATTACAAAAACCGAGTTACTTAAAATTTAAGAAACATTAACCCTACTTCGGCAAATCACTGTAATTATATTCTTGTACTTGTTTGCTTCCTTTTTATTAACTATGTTTTTGTGCGTCAGCAATACCACGCGTGGGGCGCATTTATATCTGATTCGCCCCCCCAGTGGCACAGCGGTATGTCTGCGGACTTACAACGCTAGAAACCGGGTTTCGATACCCGTGGTGGGCAGAGCACAGATAGCCCTTGTGTAGCTTTGTGCATAATTAAAAACAAACCAACAATATCTGATTCGATGTTATTACTCATCAGGATCTCTACGAACCTACCCTCAAATTTAATTATATGACCAAAGTAGCGCATCGTCAGTTATACACGTATATACACTAGTGTCCTTTTCGGTAGAAGAACGGAATCATTGGGACTGTAGATGGTAGAGTTTTGTGAAATAATTAGAGCGATAAGATTCGTTGTTTTTTACTTATTTTTTTGCACGCATGTCTGGAAACTTCACTTACTGAGATAAAAATTTATTGAAAAAGTGAAATATTGATTTACTCCATAAACACGCATATAGGGATTTAGGCGGCTTTATAAGTACAATAAGCTTTAGTTTTATTCAGCCAATACTATGAAATAGTCATTGTAAATATTGAGACGTTTGAAATGCGGTTTTAAACGAGCGCTTCTTAAGGCCGACATCACGATCCCTACTATTAAGTACCACCGTACTTAATGATAAAGTACCCACTAATGCGGTACAGTAAATGGCAGATACAAGACACTGTTCTAGCGTGATCTTCAGTTACCGATATTTTACTTGTTAGATGCAGCACATAAGATCACATTAGAGGCCAAATCTTATCCCACGGCCGCCTGGTGGTTGATTTTACGAACTCCCATATTTCATTTATTTCTTCTCGTACCGGCCCGGCATGG